AATCCAGTAGCTTACTTGGGACTTAGGACCTCTGTTTCACTGATCCCAATGGGGAAAGATGGTACGTGGTTAGAGAATCAGATTAAATTAGCACAGCCATCCTTAATTCTGGCATTCCCTAACCTCGGAGTGTTTTTTTTTTTTAAACTTTAATAATAGTCTTTGATAATAAACATTCTGCACGTGATGCATATGGAGTGCTTAAGGGTCAACTTACATGCAGTGAACAGTATTAAATCAGCTTGAGCAGGTGTAGGGGGGTGATGGACAATTACTGATATGCCTTCTAGGAAAAGTCTGTTTGGTAATTGGTTAGATAATTCTTAAACAGTTGAAAAAACTGTTCATCTGCTTGAGCAGATTTTGTCTGTATCTTGTCGGAGGAATTTGTAAATAGACACAGTAGTAGTTTGTACATTTATCTGAAGTGTCAGCCACAAACTTAACTGGGTCTTGTAAGTTTTTTCCACTTTCTAAAAGTGGCTACAAGCTACATTTGAAAAAGGAAGGTAGGGAGGATTGTATATCTTTATAAAGAGATTTATAGGTTATAATCTCGGCTAGTGGTTTTCAACCTTTTAAAATAAGTGTACCCCTGGTGGCCCCCTTTTTAATAAGTGTACACCCGGGGGGGGTGGCGAGTGGCCCCCCCCACCCCTGCTCCTTTGAGGCAGTGGTGCAGGTGGCAGCACTCTGTCCTCGCCTGCTGTTGTGTACCCCCTGCGACCTTTCAAAGTACCCCAAGGTGTACACATATTCCCGGTTGACAACCCCTGATCTAGGCAGATCTAAAGAGGGTGAACACTTATGCAGTGCTTATGTTCTAAACCTAAATGCTTAGCCTATTTAAAACCGGACACCAATATTTTCTATGCAACTACACTGATTTTTTTTCAAATGTTTCAGGGAGCAGTTGTCAAAAGGTCTGCCTTAGAAATGAAGTGAGAGGATAAGCAATGTGCATTACCTTTCCTTGTTTGTGACAGTATTTAAGGATAATCACGGATGGGGAAAAAAAATAATTGTCTGTCTGGTTTGGGGTTTTTTGGGTTTTTTTACATATCTTATGACATCTAGTAGGGGTTTCCATTCTGTTTGACTCAGTGACATGGGCAATGTAAGACGAAATAGAATTCCTCAGACTATCTTTTGCATATTTAGCCCTGGGAAATTAAATGATAATATAAGAACTGCAGCTTCTTGTAGTCCTTAAATTCTGTTGAAATGTAGGTGTATGGATTTGTTGGTGGCACAGTATGCGAGGTGCAGACTTTGACATTCCCAGTGCAGACGTGAGCAAATTTTCCAGTCAAGACCCGTATTATGGTGCTGCTCACAACTCAGAAACTTATTTTCGAGAATGATTTAGCCACTTTAAGTGCTTTTGATCATTTTGGGTGCTTACAGGCATGGGGGGAAAAAAAACCCAGCACTTTACTTTCAGCTTGGTGTGCCCCTGCTGAAGAGGAATTCCCAGAAGAGGAATCATATGAATTTGATACAGCTCACCCAGCATCTGTATAGCTCATGCACTTCAGTGGGGCTTTTGGGTGCTTTTATCTAATAGCTGATTGAATCAACTATTAGATCAAAGTGTCAAAAGCCTTGCTGAATTGCGAAAGCTATACAGATGCTGGGGGACCTGGGTCAAACTAATGCAATTCCTCTTCTAGTAAAGTGCTGTTGTTTTTTGTTGGGGTTTTTTGTTTTGTTTTGTTTGGGGGGGGTTGGAATGGAGGGGGATCCATATTTGTCAGCACCCTTTAACTTGAGTCTCCAGCTACATGCAAGTCATTGGATGGAAAACAACTGAAAAATCCAGTTAACAGTAGTGCTTGAAGAGCTCAGTTTTGCTCTTTAACCATTGTTGCTTCACATAATTGTTCTTACTGCCTGGAAGGACATGTTTATATGGAGGAACTGCATGTACTCTGGCTGGTCTCTATAGCATTCAAGCAACTGAGGGGCTGGACATTTTTAAGTCAGCCGGCCCGGATGATCTTCACCCTAGAGTCCTGAAGGAACTCGCTGGGGTCATTGCAAGTCCCCTGGCATGGCTTTATGAACACTCGTGGTGCTCTGGAGAGGTGCCAGAGGACTGGAAGAGGGCCAACGTGGTTCTCATTTACAAAAAGGGGAGAAAAGAGGACCCGGGGAACTACAGGCCAGTCAGCCTTACCTCGATCCTGGGCAAGCTGTTTGAGAAAATTATTCTGGCACGCATCCAGGAGGGGCCAGCAGG